TCCAACTGCTCATCGGCAACGCCAGGGGCATGTGGGCCGAGCACATGGACGACCAGTAGGCGACTTGGCTGGCGCAGCAGGGCGATTGTGCCTACCACTACGAGCGTTTCATCAACCACACCGAGCACCTCAGCCGCACTCTTGCGGGGCAAGTCGCCACCTGGGCCAACATCGTTGCTGTCGCCTGCGGACACCTGCAGAGGGTGACCTTGGTGGAAAGTCTTCGGGACAACTTTTTGGGGCACCCGAAGCAATCCAGCAAGCGGGGAACTCGTGCGACAGATGGACGAGCAGGTCAGCATACTACGGTGCTCACTCGGGAGCAACGCCGGCCCTTGGTTCACCCGCGATGGCGAATCATCGTCGCTCCGCATCGGTCGCGCCGTCGAGGAGAATCCCACGGGCGAGGCGGTCTACCCAAACGGCCAGCACAGAGGCTTTGCAAGGGCGTGCTCGGCTCCTCCGATTCATCGGCAAGGCGGTGGCTGTCCCGTGCCGTTGGCGTCGGGCCAACCTTTCTCTTTGTCCCAAGAGCGAGCGGGGGCGCCGGAGATCGACAACAAGCCTTCCAGCTCAGAGTAGGAGCTCCTCTTTAACCTTTGTTGGGTCCAGGCAGCATCAGCAGAACTCGGGCCCCTCAGGCGGACGCAATGCTGCCCAGGCTCACGGGCGGTGCGGAGGGCGCAGTCCGAGGGCCGAACAGTCCGACAGCCATTCTTCCGAGTTTCAGGGGACCGCTGGAGGCGGCGACCCTCCCCCTGAACAGGTTGATGAAGGACGCAGGCCAGCTGACCCTTCGGCCGCAGCCCCCGACGTGCAAGTGGTGCTTTCTCAGCGAGAATTCCGATGGTTTCAATTCGTTCGTTTCGACAGGGCCTGAGGACCCGTCATGTTCATCAGTACACGATAAGGGCATTGGATAAGGAACCAATGGGTAAGGAATCCAGGGTCTCGAATCCAGTGGAACTTAGATCGTGGATTGGCCATGGATATCACCGCCGCCCTTATCAAAAAGAGGACCCCCCAGGGTCTGAAGCCTCCTGGGCACATTCCTCAACCAACACCCCCACCGTACTGCGAGGCATTACTGCAGCGACCTCTTTCGCAAAGACATGGGCCTTGTTGAGCTTCTTCATCCTCCGCATGGCAGCGCAGGGGGAGGGGACGCGGCCGCCAGCGCAGCTCCTGCTGGAGCTCGCCTTCATGAATCGTGGGCCCAGGTAGCAGAGTGATGCTTTGGATCGGTTTTCGTGAGCCAAGCATAGGAAGGATGACACGAAAGAGTTTCTTTTAGGGGAACGAAGAATCACATAAACAGAAAAACCCGGAAGTCCGCGCGGATTTCTCGGATCCGCGCCGGGACCCCCTGGCGGCGCCTCCGGCGCCGCCCCTGGCGCGCTCCGCGCGCCAAGGAGGGGGGTCCAGCGCCGATTCGAGAAATCCACGCGGACCTCCAAGTTTTAATGTTTGTCATTCTTCGTTCCCCTATTTTTGGCACTACGCTAAAAGGCCACCTCGGTCACTGCAGCGCGAACACCCGCACTCTAGACATGCCAACATCTAGGATGAAGCGGCCCAGCAGTTTGACAGTGGTTTCAGTTCCTCTCTCGACTCATCGGCGCCAAGAGAAGGAGGCGTCAACTTTGCGGTTTCTCCCCCGGAGGTTTCGATTCAACAAGCTTGCGCACGGGTGCGGGATCGTTCCCCACCTGGTTCGAATCCTGGGAGATCCTTCGAAGCGGCGCAAGGGCGCGAGAAGCTGTCTCCAGCGGTCGGTCGTGTCAAGCAATTTTCTGATCTAGGCGAGCACCTCAGGCGCCAGAGGGCACGCAGAAGCCCTAGGTCACCCATCAGGCTTCGTGGAGCGGGCAGATCCCGCCGAAGGACTGTCTCGGTGCCCGTGAAGAGGGGGCCTGTTTCCAGCGATTCGCCGCAGCAGCCAAGCACCCCCACTTCCAGCAGTGAGCTTCCCGACCGCCCTCTGGCAACAAGGCAGAGTGACGCGATGGCTGATACTAACGGCTTAGACAGTCATCCGCCCCAGGGTGCCTCATGTAAAGTCCGCAATTGGCCACCTTCTGTGCAGCAAGAACTGGAAGTGGCACAGTGCGTGTTCTGAGCGCAGGGGTGCCCTTCCCGCTGACAGGATGAGTGCTACACTTGTGGCGAGCACGCTTGGGATGCGCAGTGGTGCGGCAAGAATATGATTCGGCTAGGCAAGGGCTTTGGATGCCTAGAGCGTTGAATCAAAGGATCGGCCTTTGAGGTGCACCCCAAATGGATTCGCAGGTTCGCTGCCAGGGCCGCCAGGTATCGTAAAGCCTTCCCACCCGAGCCCCAATGTTGGAGGCTTACATCGGCTGCCACCGAGTGACCTCGATCGTTGGTGCTTCCTTGCTTTGTGTTGGGAGCAATTTTCGCTGCGACTTGAATTTCTTCTGTCGCCTTCAGCGTCGATCGTCCTCCCCGTGCTATCACGCATTACTCTTCGGATGGTTGTGAAGTATATTGCGGCGGTCCTGGCTTGCGTAAGAGGGGGAGTGCGGC